GTACAGTCTAAAATATATAAAATAATCAAACCACATGGGATCATTTGTCATAGTCCTTTGCTTAGTCTTGTTATTTGCTCCAGCAGTTTCCTGGATTCTCTACAGCTCCATGATTGGGACTTTATCAGCTCCTTTTATTTGCACTGAGATTATAGATTACATGGCTGTCTTCACATTCCATTGCTATTCCTTTGGGAGGGAAAGTAATATAGTATTCATTATTATTTTCATGGGCCAAGCAGAGTCTGGAACATAGTAGAAAAAATTAATATGTCATATGGACTAATATTTTAAAACATTTGCACTAAGATAGTTAAATAATTTTAATAAGGAGACATAGAAGAATATTTAATTTAAAAGTATCAGTCCTATGAAATGACAACTTAAGATTGTTTTTGTTTGAAATAGCACCAGCCTAACACTTCCAAACACACATGGCCTCTTAATTTTATCACAAAGATATTTGTAAAGACATGGATAACAACAAATTGTGCACTGTCTTCTAAAGTAGACACTAACATTAAAAAAGCCAAAGAAAGATACCATATGAGTCACAGAACTGGGTAAAATAAATAGGAGTGTAAAGAACTACCTGAACAGATTTATAGTCATGAGTTACCTTTTGACATGAATATTTCTATGCACATTAAAGCAGTTGTGGAGATGACTTCTCTCCTTCCATTACTCTGGGATTGTCTTTGGAGGCACGCCATTCTTTCAAAACAGAAAAATGGACTCTCTTTTGTTGCTGTGTTAGAGATGAAAGTTTTTCCTTTCATGACTAAACCCAAATATGAACGTCTACACAATGTATTGCAATCCTAAGCAAATGTTAAAGGTCTTGTCGGTACTTACTTATGTGTGTCATCCAAGTGTAACTGGGTCAGTGTTTGGACAATCCTTCAGATACACTAACATATCAGAACTTAAGAATTTAAATCAATTCAAAAAGTAGATTACCTATTAAATTTAGTATTGAAGAGAAAACCGAGAGAACATTTAATTGAAGGCTTCAAGATAATCTTATTGTGTTCATAATGTTATCATTCACTGTTTTTCTTTTCTTGAAAATTAAGCTTTGCCGGGCGTTGGTGGCACACGCCTTTAATCCCAGCACTCGGGAGGCAGAGCCAGGCGGATCTCTGTGAGATTGAGGCCAGCCTGGGCTACCAAGTGAGCTCCAGGAAAGTCACAAAGCTACACAGAGAAACCCTGTCTCGAAAAAAACCAAAAAAAGAAAAAAGAAAAAAAGAAAATTAAGCTTAATTGTACAACTTTCCCTCTTCCTTGCCCCTCTCATTACTCTCCTCTCCTGTTGCTCCAAGAAGAAAAAACAATTTAAAAAACAACAACAACAAAA